CGGCCGTCACCTACGAGACGTGCTGGGGCTACTACGACGTGAGCGGCCAGTACGACAAGGAGTTCGAGTGCAACAACAGCGAGAGCGGCTACCTGTACTGCTGCGGCACCTGCTACTACCGCTTCTGCTGCAAGAAGCGCCATGAGAAGCTGGACCAGCGCCAGTGCAACAACTACCAGAGCCCCGTGTGGGTGCAGACGCCCAGCACCAAGGTGGTGTCGCCGGGGCCCGAGAACAAGTACGACCCCGAGAAGGACAAGACCAACTTCACCGTCTACATCACCTGCGGGGTGATCGCCTTCGTCATCGTGGCCGGCGTCTTCGCCAAGGTCTCCTATGATAAGGCCCACCGCCCTCCGCGGGAGATGAACATCCACAGGTGAGAGCCTCTGGCAGGGGCCCGCCCCCAGGCTCCGGGAGCCTCACCCCTCTTCATACCCTTAACGCGCTTCCCTGGTCCCTTTCGATCTCAGCATCCCCGGGTCCCTCCTGACTCTAAAGTCACGTTCACCCTTGCTTCCTTGACATGCCATAAATCAACGCCTCTTGTGCTTGAGGCGGTAGGGGGATTTACAGAGTATAGCGAGGATTGGCGGGGTCTGTGAAGCTTGAGTGTAAGAATTTTACACATTCTGTCATCCTGGGTGAGGGTCCAGGGCATAGTTTTTATGACACTTCGGTGTAGGCTCTTAATACATTTGGTTTTCTGAGTCAAACTGGAGCATCATCCTCAATAAAGGAAATTGACCAATGTTGGAACCTCACGGAAAGGAGTACCAAGTGACTTAGTGTAAACTGGATGGTGTGAGAGATGGGGGCGATATGTTGACCAAGGGCAGATGGTGTCTCCTCACCATATCCTGCCGAGTGGGCTGCTTATCTTTCGTGCTGAGCCTGGAGGACTTGTTCTTTTAAACCCTGTAGGCAGAACTCTGAGTTAACACTTCTTGCTGTGCTAAACCTGCTGGGCATCTTTCACTGCTGAAAACTGGGAGGCAGTGGGGGCAGCCTCCCACCAAAACTCATGCCAAGAGCTCAAAAGGTGGTTGGTAGTCCATGGTTTCACCCTGACTGCCTCCCACCCCACCTCCCCAGCTCCCAGTGAGCCCCCTGGGAAGTCAAAGCAGCCTCTTGTTGCTACTCTAGGAACAAAGCACCCAGGGGATATGAACTTCGTTTTGCTTCCAGTCCCCTCGTGATGATGAATGGCTGGACGTGGTTCACCAGAGTCCTCTCGGGGAACAAACCCTGCCCTGGGACAGGCCTCCATGTCTGGCACATGATGTGTGCACGGCCTTAGGAACCGGGACCACCTCTCCGACCAGTCCTGCTTCTGAGTTTATCCATCAGGCAGCCACCCTGAGCCAGAGACCTGTTTGTTATTCTTTTGTCCTGAAAACCCTCTTCCCTCACTGCTGTGGACATTAATCACCTGTACCTTGATGAAGAGAGAGGCAGAGAGACATTTCTGAGCACTCCCCCCCTCCCCTGTGGATGCTGAGAAAAAACGATGCTCCCTGGATTTGAGTCAAATCCTCAGAGTGTGGGTACTTCAATGCTGACGACTCGGGTGCTGGAATTAGGGCCCTTCCAGGAGCCCCGTTTATGACGCTTGCTCATCACCCAGAGGTGCCACTGCCCTCCGTTCCTCTCCCATCTTATTTCTCAGGTGGTGAGACTGTGTCCGCACTGGTCCTGGGAACTGATGGAGGAATTTTGACGAATGGTCTGTGGTCAGTGCAGGTTCTCAAATGCAGAAGGCAGGTGGGATGGACAGCAAAACAAGAACACTCTCTCCTCTGGGTCTTGTCGGAGAAAGAAATTCTTTCTGGACAGGGAAGGAAAGCAGAGAAGGATTTGCCTGTGGGCAAGCACCTTCCTGAAGCAGAGGTATCTGGTCCTTATCGCTCCATCTCTGCTTCCAGCCCCAGAGGCTTGTCTCCTTTTAACCTCCTGTGGTCCTGGCTTCTGATCACACCTTCCACTCTGGCTGTGGCCTTCTGGTTGATTCCATAAACCTTTCTTTGGGATTCTTTCTTCTCTGAGTCCTTGTTCTCTGCTCTTGTAGAGGCAGTAGCCCCCTGCGCTGACCTTGCCACCTCCTACTGAATGTACTCATCATCACCTAGAAGGGTACTGGAGGTGTTTGGAAGCTGGCGCTGGCCCGTGTTCTACTGGCTTGTGGCCCTGGAGATGTCGCTGGCCCCTCTTGGTGTTTTCTCCCCTCCCTGTTACACTGATCTCCTCCCCTCCCCGAACCAGGGCATATGGTGTATGGCCCTGTGGTGATGCCACCGGGGGCAGTTTCTCTCTGGAGTCAGGGAAGAGAGGTAACCATGGGAAAGGAGATGAATTTCAGCCCTCAGACCATTATGTAAATATGAGATGTTTCTCCCTCAGCATCAACTCCTGATTTCATTCAGTTCACAGCACCTCTTCCAGCAGCTGCAGTCTCGCCTGACAGTGCTTCGGAAACCATCATACTGGTGCTTGTTAGGTAGGGGACAATGCCTGTCTGTGTTTGGAGGGGAAGAAAGACAAAGCATGAGAGATCCATCTAGGACACCCCATTAGTGACCTTGGGGGGGGCTTATTTTTCAGTTTGGGGTAACTCAGGCACAGCAGCATCGCATCTTGACCTCTTCCCAGGTGTGTCAGGGTGAGTGTGCACACTTCAGGAAGCTGCTCACCGACTCCTGGGTGTGCGTGGTACCACGGCTCGGCTCGCTTTGCTTACACTTCAGAGATCGCCGTTTGCTATTTCAGGGAGTTGAATGTGCAGCATTCTTGTTGGGGAATTAGGGTAGGGAAAAGGAGCATGTGGGGGAAGAAAGGTAAATATTTGTACCATGGTGAGTTCTCCCCAGGGAGATGGGGGAAGAAAGAAAGTCTACTCTTCAGAGGGCAGTGGAGGAGGTGGGATGTGCATGTGCTTACATATTCCTTGAAATAGTTCAACAAAGACGTTTGCTTTCTGAAAAGGCAAGGAGCTCATTCTTTCATTCTTACGGGATTCTCTGAAGCTTTTAACCTCCTGTGGTCCTGGCTTCTGATCACACCTTCCACTCTGGCTGTGGCCTTCTGGTTGATTCCATAAACCTTTCTTTGGGATTCTTTCTTCTCTGAGTCCTTGTTCTCTGCTCTTGTAGAGGCAGTAGCCCCCTGCGCTGACCTTGCCACCTCCTACTGAATGTACTCATCATCACCTAGAAGGGTACTGGAGGTGTTTGGAAGCTGGCGCTGGCCCGTGTTCTACTGGCTTGTGGCCCTGGAGATGTCGCTGGCCCCTCTTGGTGTTTTCTCCCCTCCCTGTTACACTGATCTCCTCCCCTCCCCGAACCAGGGCATATGGTGTATGGCCCTGTGGTGATGCCACCGGGGGCAGTTTCTCTCTGGAGTCAGGGAAGAGAGGTAACCATGGGAAAGGAGATGAATTTCAGCCCTCAGACCATTATGTAAATATGAGATGTTTCTCCCTCAGCATCAACTCCTGATTTCATTCAGTTCACAGCACCTCTTCCAGCAGCTGCAGTCTCGCCTGACAGTGCTTCGGAAACCATCATACTGGTGCTTGTTAGGTAGGGGACAATGCCTGTCTGTGTTTGGAGGGGAAGAAAGACAAAGCATGAGAGATCCATCTAGGACACCCCATTAGTGACCTTGGGGGGGGCTTATTTTTCAGTTTGGGGTAACTCAGGCACAGCAGCATCGCATCTTGACCTCTTCCCAGGTGTGTCAGGGTGAGTGTGCACACTTCAGGAAGCTGCTCACCGACTCCTGGGTGTGCGTGGTACCACGGCTCGGCTCGCTTTGCTTACACTTCAGAGATCGCCGTTTGCTATTTCAGGGAGTTGAATGTGCAGCATTCTTGTTGGGGAATGAGGGTAGGGAAAAGGAGCATGTGAGGGAGAAAGGTAAATATTTATACCATGATGAGTTCTCCCCAGGGAGAAGGGGGAAGAAAGGAAGTCTACTCTTCAGAGGGCAGTGGAGGAGGTGGGATGTAGGGTAGGGAAAAGGAGCATGTGGGGGAAGAAAGGTAAATATTTGTACCATGGTGAGTTCTCCCCAGGGAGATGGGGGAAGAAAGAAAGTCTACTCTTCAGAGGGCAGTGGAGGAGGTGGGATGTGCATGTGCTTACATATTCCTTGAAATAGTTCAACAAAGACGTTTGCTTTCTGAAAAGGCAAGGAGCTCATTCTTTCATTCTTACGGGATTCTCTGAAGTTGGTAGCTGGGCAAACAGGGTGAAGAGGCTGAGCGAGGAGCCCCAAGATCAACCTCCTGCTTCCTCGTGGGGTTTCCAGCCTGCCCATGCGCACGCGCACACACTCCCTAGGGCAGGGCTACCTCTCACCTCCCCAGTCCCTTCAGGGAAGAACAGATTTAAACTTTTCCAGAATTGACTAGGCGTTGTCATCCTGCTGCTGTGGGAGAAGTCGGTGTCTGTAGGGGAAGCTCTCAGCTCTCCTGTGATCCTAACAGATGAGCACAGTCGCACTGAGCAGGGAGGGGAAAGAGCCAGAGGAACCCCGTGATCTGGACCTGGAGTGCCACACCTGGAGAAGCGGGGGGTGCCCACCTTTACCAATTGCAACCCCTTTTCCCACCAGGATCCCCACCTCATCTTCTTCTTTTCACCTGCCCGGAGGCTCAAGCTGATGGGCCTCAGGCGTCCACTGGCTTTAATGCAGTGGTTCTCAACCTTCCTAATGCCGCGACCCTTTAATACAGTTCCTCATGTTGTGGTGACCCCCAATTTCATTGTTACAAATTGAACATAATGAAAGCATAGTGATTAATCACAAAAACAATATGTAATTATATATGTGTTTTCCGATGGTCTTAGGCGACCCCTGTGAAAGGGTCATTCGACCCCCAAAGGGGTCGCGACCCACAGGTTGAGAACCGCTGCTTTAATGTTTCAGGAACAGCTTCTGCAGTGCTTCCCGGGGGCTGTTCCATAAGGGGCTGTTGATGTTGTTGATGTTTTCCCAGGGCCGGGGTTCTGCCCGGGAAATGCCGGAGGACACTGGCTTCTTTTTGACATTAATTCCATACCCACGTCTCAAGTTTAAACCTGTTCCTTCCTCCAAAGGCTAATTAACAGACAGGTTGGGAAGCTATTAGGATGCGTTAGATGCTGTTGGTGAAGTCAGAGCTGCCCTGGGTGCTCCCACTGCCTGCTCTGTGATGGAGGGGACGGACGGAGGAATTTGGGTGGAGACGTGCTCAGGGCTGTGGGAAGAACAACCTGAGGAGATGTTTTTAGGCAAAAGGAAAAGACGGAGGAATTTGGGGGCGGGGGGTGGAGACGTGCTCAGGGCTGTGGAAAGAACAACCTGAGGAGATGTTTTTAGGCAAAAGGAAAAGTATTT